TACGCAGAGATGTAGTACAGTCTGGCCTATCTGGGAGCTCTCTGAAGGCAGGTGCCTTGTTTTGGGTTGTTTAGGAAAGTGGTTCTGAACCTGAAGGTCACAATCCCTTTGAAGTCACACACCCTTTCACAGGAGTCACAGATATCCTGTATATCTAATATTTATGATTTGTAACAGTAGCAAAACTACAGTTATGAAGTAGCAAAGAAAATAATTTATGATTGGGGTTCACCATAACATGAGGGACTATATTAAAGGGTTGCAGCATTAGGAAGGTTAAGAAGCACTGCTTTAGGCAACAGTAGCATCTAATATATTCCTTTGTATATCAAGGGACAAGTAATGCTGGAAAGAAACTAATAAAAGAACCAATAAACATAATAGAGCCAATTAACTCAGCTAGATTCAAGGATATTCCTCAGTTCCTGTCCCTGTCCTGATCTCAGGCCCAGGATTCTCCAGTTCTAAGATCTCTAACTATTGCTGGGAGGTACAAGAGTTCCACTGCCTTTCCTCCCTTCTAGCACTGTTGGCCACAGTGCTTTGAGTAAGTAACATAGTAGCTGGAACATAGTAATTGTGAACTTTTAGCTACAGCTCTGCCATTAGTGGACTCCTGCTCCAGTGTATTTGCTGAGTTTCACTTCTTTAAGGGTGGCTCAGGGCTCCTGGTGTGAGTGGGTTATATTGTTGGGAGGGTGAGATGGAAGATAGTACAGCACAGGTTTGTCAGTGAGGCAAGTAAAAGGGAGGGGCAGAAAGTAAGACTGTGAAGACCAGGTCCAAGCCAGTCTCTATGTAATACTCCAATGGATCCCCCTTTTCTGTCAGTTAATTTAGGACATAGGCAACATGAGTCTCTTCAACTCATACTGTCCACAGAGATAGCTGATGCCTGGATCTCTATACAGACAGAGTCAAAGATGTGGAAGCCCTAAGTTTTCACTTCCAAAAGATGAATATGGAACAAATGTGGAACACAAGCATTCCCCCTATCCAATAGCACAGCACAGCTACCATTTCCCTGCAAGGCTCTCTAGCTAACTTCTCTTCTTCCCTCCAGGACAGATGACAACTCTCATTGTCCTTTTATTACTCACTATCTTATTTCCAGCACTGGGCACACTGCCTGGCACCCAGTAGGGATGCAATAATGCCTGCCGAATAAATGCACCATTAAACACTGAACATCAACATAAAAGCACAGATCAAATCGCACACAATTAAAGAGAAACTGTCCCCAGATGAGTTCAATGTGGCTTTGAAAGGAAGAACAAATAAAAATGACAGTAGAATTAGAAAAGAGCAACAGACAGGAGGAGCCAAGGTGCACACCTTTTCTGAGTCTTGAGAAAAACCCTGTACCCATGCAAGCTTATTCACGAAGTAGAAAGAAGGAAAGACACACTTGTTTTATGCTTTCCTAGTTTGGTCAAAGGATCTCTTCCTTAGTGTCATTATTGACCCAAACAAATACATTTTCTTCTTGATATGGAAGCATACCAGAGGTTACTATGTCAACCTCATGCTTTGCCAAGAACTTTGTTCAATTAGTAGAAAACTATGAAGCCCCCAGAAGGGGCAGGCAATGAACAGGGTAGAGAAGGAATTTACTCTTTGTCATGAAAGTAAAGTGAAATCAATAAGAATATCCCATGATTAACGAGAATACTGTGATTTAAAGTCAGAGTGCTATTTCACACTCCAAACAGTCAAGGGAAGAGGCAGAGAGATTTTAAACAGATAAGACAGAGTGCAACTCAAAAATAAATAGAGCTAAGAAATAAAGACAAAAGTAGCAGCCTCACTACCAAATGTCTCTCCCATTTGAGTTTGGCCATGGTGTGGAAGAACTTTAAAAAACATGTAATATTCAGGAGTGGGCAGGTACTATTAGAATAGTCTAACATCTGTGCTAATGTGATATTTCTCTCATGTATACATACTCAAATACATATATCAGGCTCACGACTTGACCTTAGATGGTCTTGTATCCTTTAAAGTAATGATGACAGCTCAACAATATATAAGAAGAATGTCTGGGGAAATGATTCAGTGGGTAAGAGCACCTGCTCTGTAAGAAAGAGGACTTAAGTTTTAATCCTCAGCACCCACTTAAAAAGCCAGGCATAAATGCACATGCCTGTAATTCCAGTACTGAGAGGCAGAGAGACGTTGAGAGCTCACTGGCCAGATACCCTAACAGAAAAGCAAGCTTCAGGTTCAAAAAGGGACCCTTTCTTAAGGCAATAAAGTGGAAAAAGATACAAAACACCTGATGTCCTGCTGTGAACTCCATGTGTGCAAGCATAGGTGTGTCTATCTGCACATTCATATGTACCTCACACATTTATGAAAATAATAAGAAACTAACCAGACTAGAAGAGCAATGTTATAAATCTAGTCTTACATACATTCTTAAAATAATAATCCATAGTACTAGTGACAGCAAAAGCCACAGAACATTTCAAACACTCAAAATTCAATATCCTTTACTACTGCCTCCCAGGCTTTCTCAGCAATCAAGGCATCATTTATTAAACAAAAGAGAGAGAAAGAAGGAGGAGGATAAGGAAGAATAAGAAAGAAGGAGGAGGAGGAAGAAAAAGAAGGAAGAAAGAAGAAGAAGGAAGGAGGAGGATAAGAGGAAGAAGGAGAAGGAAAGGGAGAAGAAGAAAGAGGAGGAGGAGGAGGAGGAGGAGGAGGAGGAGGAGGAGGAGGAGGAGGAGGAGGTTAAAATGCACATCTCCATGTAAGTATATCAACACTTGGGAATGGGAGGATCAAATAGGAAGGGTAAAAGGGAATGAGGAAGAGAATACAGAAAGATACAGTAAAAATCAAAGGACATTTGAAGGGTAGTACGGAAATCCCAAACAGAAGAACCTTCCTAAAATACATGAAGCCAAAGAATGGGGAAGACAGAGCCCTAACTGGCCATATCTTCTCACTAAATAAAGAGTCCAGTACCAGGATGGGTTACATCTAACTGTGCTACTGGTTAAAGGGGCCCCATGGGTACTCACACAGAACCCAGGCATTGTCAAGACTATAGGTTGCTCTTCATAAACTGACAAGTAGACCCTACTGAACACTTACACAACTCATTGAACATGGAGAAGCTGAGCTAGTGTCTACATAGAGCCTTCACTCCCGTGGACAAGCGTCTTTGGTGCAGGAAGGTATACTGCACACTATCCAATAAGAACTGTAAACACCTACCCAGCTACAAACCATTTGATCTACAATGGTGTCCTGCCTTCAAATAATGTTAGTACAAAGCTTGTGGGAATAATCAATCTAATCTATATCTGATTTGACTTAAGGAACACTCCATGAGATAGAACCCATACCTGATGCTGCTTGGGTGACCAAGAACCTGAGACTAGATAGCCCAGGCACTGAGGGTAAAATCAAATACTACTGTTCTTCTAAAAGAACATAACAACAAAATGACTCATAATGACATTCTGCTATACTCATAGATCAGTATCTTACTCGGCTATCATCAAGAAACTTCCCCTTGCAGCAGATGGGAACAAATAGAGACCCACAGCAAGACAATACACAACAGAGTGAGAGACCTTAGAACTCTTAGCCCTAAATGGGATGTCACTATCAAATCCATCCCATCAGGGTTCAGAGAACCCTGCAGAAGAGGAAGTGGAAAGAATGTAAGAACCAGAAGGGAGGGAGGGAGGGAGAGAGGAAGGGAGGGTGGGAGGACGCCAAGGAAACAAGGTTCTCTAAATCAACAGATCAACAGAATGGACTGGCATATGAACTCACAGAGACTGAGGCAGCATGCACATGGCCTGCACAGGGTCTGCAACAGATAGAGTCCTTGAGCTGAAAGGTGAAGTGGGCAAATGCCCCATCCCATCCCTAAGCCAGCTGCTATCTCCAAGTGATAAACACTTGTAAATGAAAATTTTGTTTTCTCCAAGGGAGTTTCACTGGGGAAACAAGCTACTTTTAAGGGTAGGCCTCATGGCACTAGAGGGCCAACAGAATACTCAATGTAGGTTTCTTTTCTCAAAATGTTGTATCTGAGCTGTTATTTATTTGTTTGTTTGTTTTTTTATTTATTTTTTAATTTTACTTACTATGGCTTCCAGTTTTGTGTTTTTATGGAACAATTGGGTCTCTGCATCTCTATCTGTTTCTTGAACCTTTTCTTGTGCTCTTTTCCTTCTGCATGTTTGTATTATCCTATTCCAATATGTTGTTTCATCTTATTGTATTATATTGTGTTTATTATTATCCCTTATAAGTTTGTTTGCTTTCTAATACAGATGGTAAGGGGCGGGGGAATCTGGATGAAAGGGCAGTTGGGAAGGAATTGGTAGTAGACAGAGGGGAAACTGTAATCAGGATATATTATATATTTGAGAAAAAATAAAAAAATAATAATTTTTTCTATAAAAGGAAAATAAAAATTTTAAAATATACACAGTAAAAAGGTATATCAACACTGGATCATCTATACATAAAAATATAGATAGCTAATTATTTGCTAACTACGAAGTCTCCTAAACTGGGTTTTCCTTTGAACATGTATCCAATCTCTTCAATTCCTAAAGAAATGCAAAATTCAGTTTTACTTTAACTAGTTTAAAATGACAGTAGAGTTGACTTTCATGTTTGTGATTTCTTATTGGTGCCATCCTTAAGCTCATATCCATGGCATGGCTCAGTGGTGGCATGCTTGCCAGGCATATACACCACACTAAGTTCAATCTCCAGGACCACATTAAAAACCAACAAACACTGGCTGAGAAGATGGCTGAGTGAATTAATCTGCTTGACTTCCAAGCCTGGACACCTGAGTTCAACCCTAGCCATTAAAAGTGGAAGGAGAGAAGTGATGCTCAAAATTTGTACTGACCTCCACCTGTACACTATGACATGTGCATCTGTGGACACACACACACATACACACACAGGCAATAAATAAAATACCTTTAAAAAATCAGCATGGTTGTCTTGTTAACTCCTACCTTTGAACTTATGGAACACGGCCCATAGCTCTGCAATGTCAGTTGCAAAGGTAATGTCAGTGTCTAGGACAATGACTCTCTCCAGGTTGGCAGGTAGAGTCTTGGTCAGAACCAGCTTCATCAGGCCATAAATCCCAGAGTAATGTTTGTTGGGGATCCAGGACACTTCAGACTGGACAGGACAGAATAGAGAGAAAGAGATTTGGGAGGGGGAGAGAGAGGGGAGAGAGAGAGAGAGAGTTGGTAAAATAAGAAAAAGGAAAAAAAAATCACCACATGGATTCTTTGCTTAAACATTATAAACCATGCTGAGACAGAAATAAAATCTAATTTTACAAACTTGTTAAATAAATACATGAATTTTCTTTAAAGATCTGTTCATTTCGTTTTGCTATATCAAGTTTTTCTGGGAATAAAAATGTATTTGAATCAAGACAGGCCTAAAAATATTAGTTGTGAAGTAATTATTAAATGCAAATTCTATGCTGAGATTTTGAAAACAGACTTTTTTATTATTAGAGAAATTATATGGTCGACTGAAGAAAATAAGTATGTGAAAACAAAACAACAGAAAACCAAACAAACAAAAAAATCCCCTATCATCTCATTGTTCATAGGTAGAATTATTACTTTAATTCATTAAACTTATGTGCCATTAAAGATCACTAAACCTCATGGTATTTTTAATGCTTATGCTTATGTCTACTTTAAAGTTATAATGAGATCAGTTGGTACGGGTGGCTCCTTTTCATCCTCATGGAAATGAGGGCCCTATCAGAATCTGTATAATGCTGGTCATCTAAAAGTAATGGAGAATACAGAGTTACATGAAAAACCTCAGGGCTGCAGTGCTCAGATGACAGGAATACCAGTGTCTCCTAAGTGAGTGGCGTCAGCTGCAAGCACACACTTTCATAGTACTTGCTATCAAAACGCTGAGGCCCATACACAGCTTCAGTGCGATAAAAATCCTTATCTATGTAGGTCATTTGTGAAGACCATTGTGAGAAGAAAGGCATGGGGCATGTATGTGGAGGGATTCCATGGAATCCACATTTTATTTTCAAAAGGTTAACACTTAGTATACACCTAATCAAGTTGGAGCTATCACCTCAGAATTCCAAACAATACTCATCTCTTTTGTCTTATAAGTTCATTTAGAAGACACTGGTCTTTAAGAAAGCAAGTAAGAGCTGGATGTGGGTGGCTCTCATATATAATCATAGAACCTGGGAGGCAAAGACATGAGAACTGTTGATAGATCAAAGCCAGTCTGGGCTACAAAGTGAGAGCCTTATCTCATTGCTGCCCTATTCACAATAGCTATGAAATTGAAACAACCTAAATGCCTTTCATTTGACAGATGGTTAATGAAAATGTGGTATATATAAAGAAAATAAAATTATAAAATATGAAGGTAAAAGGATGGAACTAGGAAAACATATACTAGATAAGTAACCCAAACCCAGAAAAACAAATGTCGCATGTTCTTTGACACCTGAGGCTCCTAGCTCCAAGTCTTCAAAGGTGACTATATAACTTGGAACAACTGTAGAAATCAGGAAAGTAAAAAGAGACAAGTACTGGAAAGTGAGAGAGGGGAATAGCAAGGCATAGCCATAGTGTTGACTGGGGGCAGAAATTATACCTTGGTCAGAGTAAAGCATAATACCTTACCGATCACGGCAAAATGCAAAGTTGGGTCAGATGAATGGAAAGCAGTAAAGGAGAACAGTGACCATCCAACCCCAACCCTACTCTAGAGCAGGCATGATGTAAACCTGTAGTTAGAATCTGCTGGAGGAGGGGCTGGGAAGATAGCTCACTGAGTAAGGTATTTGCTGAGCAGTCATCATGAGGACCTGAGTTTCCATCATAATAACCCACATAAAAGGCGCACATCTCTAATTCCAGTGCTGGGAAGAGGGAACCACAGAGATAAATGGATCACTGGACCTCACTGACCAGCCAGCCTAATAAGGTTCCCAGTTCAGATAGCGCATTCTTCAACAAGTAAGGTGGAGAGCAATTGAGGAAGACACCTCACATCAACTTCTGGCTTCCAAATGCATGCACACACATGTTCACAACCACACACTCAAACCAAGAATCTGCCAAAGAACGGTCCTAGTTTTGTTTTGTTTTCTTTTTTTTTCCTGCGTTTGGATCATCATAAACTACCTCATCCTTCCCTGAGAGTAGCCATCATCTTATAGTCTAAGACCTCGTCGAGCAATTTCCTCCAATGTACTTTATAAAACTCTTCCTCATGCAAGCCCGGGCCTTTGGAACTCAGCTCCATTTCTTTCCTCCCCAGAGAATCTTCCTGAACTGAAGCCTGGGAATCACAACTCCATGCTGCATAGTGGTGCTACTTAATCAGACCTTTGATTAACTTATCCATTTATTTTGGTAACCATCAAAGCAGGAGAGCTTGGCAAAGACTAAGAGTCACAGTGTTGGGTTAAGCCATTTAATTAGTTTGCCCTGACTCTGAGTTTTATTTTTAACACAGATGTGAGACACTTGGATGCACTGCAAAACTATGAGACTACAGGAATAAATTAATCTCCACATGAACCCAGTCTTGAATGTCACCCCAAGTCTACAACTTAATACATAATCAATTAAGTCCACATGTTCAATTAAATGTAAAAGAGGCATGTGAATGAGTTTCTATTTAGGAAGAAAACCCCAGGAAAGGATAGAAAATGAAAGAATCGTTGGGGGAAGGAATGTGAGGAATGGGAAGCAAATACATTTATTATAATCAGCTAATCCCAGGACCTGCATGGCTCACCTCATCTTCCCTTTCTTTGTACTTTTCCTTCTTTGAAAGCCCCTATCACATAAGGACGCACCTTCTCTCTGCCTCAGGCTGAACTGGAGCTCCTGAAGAGAGCTATCCCATTCTCCCATGCATAGCATAATAACACACTGTGTTTCATTTTCCATGTCTGTCTCTTGCATTTGACTGAAATTCCCTGAGGCTGGGAAAATGTCCTTTTCATTCTGGTAGTAATTCACATGGTCAATGCTCAAGAATAGCTTGATGAATGTACAGAATCTTAGTTTTGCCTGTGTCTGTGATCAAACTCTACCTTCAACATCTACTTTCACTTAGAGCAGAGATGTCAACTGGAAAATATAAGGCTTCTAGGGTGGAGTACCAAATACAATAGCACATTCTATGTGGAGGAGATTCTGTGATGAGACAGACTTTTCTAGACTGTCACTTAGGACATTCACAAGGTGTTGATTTTCCTCCTCCCCAGCAACAAGCTCCAATACAACAGGGTCCTTAAGTCATGGGGTCCATGGTGAAAAGAACATGCTGGGTAAAGGAAGAAAGTTGAGCCTATGTAACCGCTCACCCCAAAATATCCAATAGAAGCAAAGTACCTATTGGAATCTTTCCTCACAGTAGTTAATATGCCAAAGGGTCCACATGATTAAAAAGATAATAAAGATGAAGTCAGCCTCATTGTAATGGACAGAATAGTATTCCTGTGGTGACTGTTATTAATCCTAAGCAGCATGGCTGAGGCTTTAATTACCAACAGTGTAATTGCACCCAATATTACAATATACTACAATACATAAAGGAACAGGAGTGATCAGAGCTTACAAGTTCCTTCTCAAGTGGGGGATGAGGACACTGGCAGTTTGAAACTCACCTTGCTCAAGTTCTGACATAATGTTATTCTTTGGGAACTAAATGGAGTTTCCACAAAGCTCTGTAGGTGACTCTTGAGTATACTCAACATTTGGAAAACCTGTAAAACTGACCTAGAAAACCTGACCAGTGTAGTGATGTGAGCATGGGGACACTGCTGATTCATCTCCAAAAGTGACTAATTCCAACCTAAGGAATGAAGGACAGTGGTGTGCCAGCCATGATGTCACGTTTCTGGACTTTGATAGATAATACAGAGGCAAGTGGGGAGACTGGTTTAGGCAGGAAAGGATGCCCACTTCTCATTTGGAAATGCTGATTATCAGTAGCCCCTAGAATACTGCAGTAATGACAACAGGACAAAATGTATCATCATTTACTGAGTGTTAGGCATTTTTGGGGAGAGCTTGTAAATTTATTAAACCCCTCCTACAAGTCTTCCATCTGGTTGTAATTAACCACAGTACACAAAGCCTGAGCTAAGAGCTTTCTTGTCCCTTCTCTCTGCAGCCCTCCTATAATTCTTGGTTCTGATAAAGTCAGACTAGAACTTTCTTTCCATATAAACACAGCTTAATTCACCAGCAAGCCGTGATTGTGTGCACTTGTGTGCATGTGCATGTTTGAATGTGGAGAGAGCAGGACAACTTCAGGTATCATCTTCAAGAATGTCTTCCATGCCTTTTGAGCCAATGTCTCTCCTTGGCTTGGAGCTTGCCAATTAGGCTAGGCTAACTGACCAGTGACCCCCAAGGATTCCCTGCCTCTGCCTCTGCCTAGAATACAAGCATACACCACTATGCCTAGTGTTTCTAGCATGGCTCTGGAGATCACATCAGGTCCTCCTGCTTAAAAGCCAAGTACTTAAAAGGCAGAATCCCAGCCAGGAAGACATTAATTTTAAAAATTGCATTAATTTATTTAGTGTGTGTATGCATATGTGTATATACACCATAGTGTACATGTAGACTTAAGAGGATAACTTATGGGAATTTCTTCTCCATTCTATAATGTGGATCTCAGGGATCACACTAAGGTCATTAGGATTATGCAGCAAATGTTTTTACCTACTGAGCCATTTAGTTAGTCCAGGAAACCTTTTTTTTTTTTTTCTTTAAAGAGCAATTAGGTATCAAGGTTTTAGAGTTAGACATTTCTGGTTTTTTTTTTTTTTTTTTGGTTTTTCAAGACAGGGTTTCTCTGTGTAGTTTTTCGCCTTCCCTGGAACTCACTTTGTAGACCAGGCTGGCCTCGAACTCACAGAGATCCACCTGGCTCTGCCTCCCGAGTGCTGGGATTAAAGGCATGCGCCACCACCGCCTGGCTCATTTCTGGCTTTTAAATCTCCCTGGGCCTTAATTTTCTCATCTGTAAATTAAAATATTCCCTAGGGAGTAACTGTATTTATAGTCTGTAAGCTTTCTCTCATCACTATGGAAATATTTACTTTTGAAAAAATAGGTTCCTTACCCATATGAGCATTTTCTGTAAATTAA